ATTTACCTGAATGGGAGATAAAATATATAGAAGAAATACAGAAATTCAATTATAATATGGTTTGTGTATGTTCCGCGAGTGCGCGAGTGCCGAGTCCGCGCCGAAGGCGTAACAATGTATAAAATCATGGAAATTTTTTATAAGGATTACATTAAAAAATTACGTAAAAAAAAATAAGATTATAGCTGAGAAAATATGGAGATCAGGAGATAAGATTTGTATAGATAATTTTAGAAGTTAAATAGATGTTTTTTTTTTTTAACAAAGCATGATGTCATTTATCTATGGTTAAAGGGTAGAATTAAAAGAAAATATTGGAAAGTGTATGGAATGACGAATAAAATAATGTTAAAGGTAGCGTGCTGTGGAAAGGGTAGAGTGCGTGAAAAAACAAGCACAGTAACAACTGTGCCGCGAACACGTAGAACTACGTCTACTGCACAGTATGGGCACAGCAACAACCGTGCCGCAAGCAACACGTAGAACTACATCAACTGTCACTGATGATGATTGACGTAATCAAGGAAGGCCAAGGCCCACACCGGGCTGTAGCGCCGAGTTCATCATCAGTGACAGTTGACGTAGTTCTACGTTGTTGCTTTTGTTTTTTTTTGTTTTTTTTTTGTTTGTTTTTTTTTTGTTTCTTTTTTTGTTTTTGTTTATTTTTCAAGCAACAACGTTGAACTACGTCAACTGTCACTGATAAACTCGGCGCTACAGCCCGGTGTGGGCCTTGTCCTTTCTTGATCACGTCAATCATCATCAGTGACAGTTAATGTAGTTTTACGTGTTGCTTGCGGCACGGTTGTTGCTGTGCCCATACTGTGCAGTAAACGTAGTTCTACGTGTTTGCGGCACAGTTGTTACTGTGCTTGTTTGATTTTTTCAAACATAAATTTATTTTAAAGAAATAAAACAATAAATGTTTTTCTTATTTTTCGTTTATATTAATTTTACTTACATTTCAAAGGGGAACTAAAGATATAAGAACTCATTACTCTCTCTTTCTCTCTTTCTCTCTCTCTCTCTCTCTCTCTCTCTTGTTTTATCATAAATGGGACTTCTTAAGCTTTAAAATGAGATGTCAATGATTACTCTACGATTATTAGTTTCGAAGATATAAACGTTCAAAATGAGACATGTTTTCGTTGCATCATCGCATCCGTGGGTACCCCCCATACCGCGGAGAAAGACGTAGTTCTACGTCAAAATTATTGATACAAAAAGGATTATGTAGTAATAAGAATAAATATAGATGGCATGAGTGTATTGAAATAGGAGAGATCGGGGCTAGTTGGAACACTCTTTTTAATCATTTTTTACATGTAACTAATAAGTGAAATACAAACCGCAAAAGAATTTTTCAATAGCCGTATATTTATTTTACCGTATATTTATTATACGTATATTTATTTTAACTGAATAGTATAATTAATTTTGTTGCACTAATAAAAATTATAAGGCGACTACATTTGTAACAACTAGCTTCATATGTAGGGTAAGTTGTTACAGTACTGGATTAAGTTGTAAAAGATCCAGTTTTCAAAGTATAATATATTTAATAAAGAGAAATAACAACATATGTAACAACATGTGTTATATTACATTTACAGTGTTGAGTACAAAATTGTAATAATACAACTGATGTTCCGTGTGTTGACTGGTTCTGATACGTAATAAAAAACGTTAACGGTAAAATCTTACATAAAATCAAAATATCTGCCACTGTTGCGCCAAAGTTATGTATTACATCAACGGAGTTAGTTGAAATTATAAGTAGAAAGCTATAACTTGCCCCGTCACAACCCAGACAGCACGCAAGTCCAAAATCGAGACATAAGACATCTTTCAGACATCTTTTAGACATCTTTTAGACGTCTTACAAAAAGATAGCTAAAAGACGTCTAAAGGACGTTTTATATCCCGATTTTGGACGTGCTGTCTGGGAATCAACCCCGCTGTTATACTTACAATTAGATATTTTGATTATTGCTTAAGCAAAAAAATGTTTTAAGACGTTAACATAACCAGAAGTTATTACGTTTAAAGTAAAGATTTTAAAGAAACAGTTAGAATTATAATATAATGACTAGATTTATAAATATAACATTTGATATGTCACTGATTTATTTTACTTTTGGCTATACAAAACTAAAAATATTTTCTGTTTGTAAAAATGTGCTACTCAGCCTGAAATAATAAATTGAAATGTTCTTCCGAAAATACTATATTTTTTATGCAGTATTATCTTTTGTCATTTTTACAATAGTTATCGTGTACCAACTTGTTCCATGTACTAACTATAGCCTCAGTCTCCCTTAAATTATAAACCAAGTCTACTTCTTGGCTTTGTATAAGCTAAAGTTTAATAAAATATCTTATCTTATAAGTCAATCACTTATATTATAATATACAAGAGGCAGAATTTTAAAATTCTTAATCTTAGCTTAATCGACAGAAGTATAAAACATAAAGTAGGGCGAGTCCGGGAGACTTGACCATAGAGGAGAGTTGAACCACTTCAAATATCTCGTTCAAATTTTGAACAAAGAGCTCAATCCGAGCACGTGACAACATGACGATTGGTAGTGCGTTTCGACTGTGATTGAGACAAACGTGTTTTAAAGTGCTCGGATTGAGCTCTTTGTTCAAAATTTGAACGAGATATTTGAAGTGGTTCAACTCTCCTCTATGGTCAAGTCTCCCGGACTCCCCCTATGTATTAAAGTATATACTTCCTAAAAACATATAATTGACAATACTACAGAAATTTCTCCTAAAAAGGCACAAATAAAAAAAAATGGGATTTGATCAGCATTATGTCGCATATGGGGTAATACCGGTTATTCTTTTCTTTATATGAAACAAATAGAAAAAGCAAAATTGGTATTAGGTTTAAAAATAACACGTTTTATTTAAAATTAATTAAGTTTAAACATATTACATAAGAAGTCACATAATTACTGTCTCTTCCTCCACATATAAAAATATAAATTGAATTAGATAGCAATAATCTATAGTGTTTCAGAGATAATTTAAAAAAAATCTTATTTTGATATTTGTGAAAATTCTTTCATAATCAAAATGTTTATCTTCTTGCAAGATAAATATAGATAGACATACATCTGTCTGTAATAAACAATTGACCAAGCACATATATCTCATTTAAAGATTAATCGCGAAGATATTAAGTTTTCAAAACAAAAACTGAGAGAAAGAGAGAGAGAGAGAGAAACACAATCTATAAACTAGTCAATACCATGGCTCCGTAAAAATAAGTGCAACTACTTAGGCCAGTATTCATAGGCCGGTATTCACAGTCGGATCGGTTCTATTTAAAACCATCTTAAATACGATCTTAAGATGTTATGAACCAATCACCGGTATTCATAGTCGATTCTTATTTCAAAACCGTTTTAAGTAATGTCTTAAAATACTAATACGGCTCTGTGATTGGTTTATGACATCTTAAGATTGTACTTAAAACTGTCTCAGGAACTGTTCCTTACTGCAAGGAATAACGAAATGCACTTTCAAGTAAGTGGGACTCAATTGACTACGTCACCAATTGGATGATTTAAAATAAAAATATCTAATTAGCTGGTCCAGGCCCGGGGGCTGTGAGTGGTCAATCGCAACGCGGTCAAACGGGACGCTTCCCTTTCAAATACAGTACGTAAACAAATATTGAAAAGAATGACTTCTTAAGGGGATGCTGGAGCCGTAGCCGAACTCGATCGGCGTCGGTAAAGAAGACCGGCGAACTATATCTGTCCTTGTGTAGACAAAGATATAGACAAGGATAGCACGCTACATTGCACGCACACATACGCACGATGCACACCGACATTATACTTTTATATTACGCTTCCAAATCTTGATTTGGGGGGTTTATCGATGTTTTTCTTGTTGTGCAATTCGGGGAAACTTGTTTTCGCGTTCGTACCAATGGTATATCTCTTTATATGAAATACATCTTGTGACGAGCTGACAGCTCGCCGCAACTCGAGACGCCATATTGGGATAAGAGTAGGATAAGGAAATCTGTACTTCCGTAATTTTTTCTCGTTTTCTATATAAAATCGGAGTTTCCCCGAATCATTAATGTATGTACTGCAATTCTGGAGAAAGATTATTAATTCTGTCAAATTAATACGACGCTATGTGCCGACAAAAAATGCCGGTAAAACAGACGGCTTCAGCATCCCCTTAATATGATTGAATTTGTTAAGAAGTAGAGAAATGGCAAAAAAAATTTTAAATCAATTTCTTCTCCTTATTTTCTAGACACTTAATTGACCGGTATTACGCGCTGGCCCATTTTCCCCTATACTATTTAAATTTAATTGCAGAGGCTTATTTTGTCATCATCAAAATTGAAACTTAAAACAAAATTTAATAAAAATCAAAAACAGAACTTAATATAACACATATCAATATTTATGTTAATACTAGCTGGTTAGCCGGGCTTCGCCCAGGAGTTGTTTTTCTTCAAACAACTTCATTTGTGTTTTAATATCCTTAATCGAAAAAAATTCCTTTATCAGTTCGGATACCAATTCCCAAAAAGATCGGTAACGAAAAACTATACAGTTTATGGCACTCCCTGTGAAATTCTACCCCTATTTTGTATACAATTTTTTAAGATTTAGTCAATTATTTCCCAAAAAATTGGAAAAATTTCAAATACCGATTCTCAAAAAGATCGGTAACGAAAAACTATACACTATAACACTCCCCGGAAAATTCTACCCCTATTTTATATACTTTTGGTAAAAATTCGATCAAATAGTTTAAGAGTGTATAAAGAACATACATACATACATACATACATACATACATACATTCTAGTTTATATATATAGATAGATTATTATGTTACCTGCACTAGTGAGAAGACCTGTACCAAGCCAAGGATGTAAAATATCATAAAGAAGACTCTTTTCAATGTGTTTTGTGTTACTTAATATTGTCTGAAATTACAGAAGGTATTAAATTAAGTATTATTTAATTCAGACGCCATTAGATAATCAATTAATTAATTTTAAAAGTATTTTAAATAATCAATTATTTCATATTTTTGACAAAAACAAGTATTTTTGCGAAATGAAAAACGTAAAAAAATAAGCATCTTGAATCGTTAATTTATCTATACTTAAAAAAGCAGAATAATTTTTTTATATTTTATTACCTCTAAATCATCCGGGTGTTGAATAACTACTGTAGGAATAAAGAATGCCCAAATTTTATAAATGGGATAGTACTGATTAAAAGTATTCTGCAGCTTCCATAGTTCTTCTAAGAAATCATATGTAGATATACAATTATTATGAAAATCCACAGAAATATTATAAATATATAATTAACTTTATCAATAATACAAACAGTAGAATACATTAAATGCAATACATTTAATGTATTCTACTGTTTCTAAAACAACTCCTGCAACGATCAGAAAATCAATGTTATCGGTTTTCAAGAAATTTTAACTTACCTCGTGAAACAAGGATATCCAATATATTTCCAAGAATCAGACGGCCTGGTGGTCCTGGTATAAAATTGATAAGTCGTCCGTTTTTTCCATGATGCACATAATAATTATACATTAATAGAATAAGGATAAATGATAACAATATAACAGTGATCATCGTTTGTTGACGAAATAATTAGCCAGTATAATCAAGTTTCGTTTCCTTCTGCTATCTTCTTTTAATTCTTAAATCACACAAATCACTAAATATGTATTATTTACTTCAGGACAAATTTACATTACAATCATTACATATTAAATGTTTGGTAAATAGAAAGTACGTTGAAATACGTTATATGTACATACTTTAACATTATAATCTTTAAAGAGATATAATGTATTTTTTATTTAAATAATAGTTATTTGTGTAACAAGTGAGGTAAGGCCACGAGCCGAAGGCGAGTGCGGTAACCGCACCCGGGAAATTTCATCTTTACACACGACTTATACTCCCTATTTTATGTTGCAAGTGCCTGGAAAGTGGTCTATCACGCACGCGTAGCGTGCGTAATGGGGCACTTTCCATGCACGTGTTGCATAAAATATGTAGAGGAGACCGGGGCAAACTTGACACTAGGGTTTTTGCCAATTTAAATTTATCTTGAAACTTGCCTTTCCTACTGTAAATGCGTCTTTATGTGCCAGTGCTGTCAACGGAATTTGGTGACATTCTGAGTTATGGTGTAATTTTTAGCGCGACATAAGCGTTTTTGATGGTAAAAAGTAATTTTTCTGATCTCTCGAAAATTTCTACTTTTTCATCGAGCTTTACTCTTGCGAATCTACCGGTATGTGATTTTGATAGGAAATTCGATGCTCTATACGAATCCGATAATAGTTTTTGCATATTTTCAAAATTTGTATGTTTTTGGAGTGACAAAAGTGAAAAATTACGTTCGGAGCAAAGTCAACATCACACCGTTTCATCGGCTCCCAATAACAAACGACGCTTGTCATGCAGCCGTATGGCTCATGACAAATGTGTGCACGCACGTCCGATCGCGAGTTTACCTGCATTAATTGTTTTTCAGACATGAGTTTAGATAAAGATAATTGTGAAAGTTCAATAATTTTTTTTCTTATTATTTCCAATAATTGTTTTACTTTATTCCGAATTTTTGTACTTTCTAAATACACGATAAACAATGTATTTTCATTTTCAGACAATAAAAAATAAGTTTTAGATCAAATTGTGTCGATCAGGCAAAGTGTCGAGTTTGCCCGGCATTTTTCAATTTGAAAATTTGTTTTTACGTCACTTTTTTCCTTTCCTGGAGACAAAACTAAGCAACATACAGCAAAACTTCTTTAAGTAATTTTGTACCTGAAGGAACACTTTTTAAATATGTACCATTGAATTTGCTTTAAAATTTTAATTAATTGTTGGAAATTACCTTTCAAAAAATAGTATCGAATTTGCCCCAGTTCTCCCCTACATAACAAACCTATGAATTCAGTAAAATTTTATTTAATTTTTAACTATTTTAAAGATATTATATTGTTACAAATGTAATGTTACTCAAAGTGTGATCTGATAAATAAAAATTCTTATATTAAAGCTTGCGAGTGACTGATCAGTTCTGGTACTGATCTATTGACTATTCATTCGCTTTTATAATGTTCTGTTTGATCATTAAAATCACTTGAACAGTCTTAGATAACAAAAACGTCCACTTATTATTAATAAACTTTTTACTAGATTTTTTTATATGATTTGCAATAAAATAAATGAAAAGATTAATATGGAATAATAATTGTGTCGTATATATTGATATAAAACGATCTAAAAATCTCTTCAATTTTTTAATTCACCTCTTAGTGCTGCAATATACCAGCACAAACTGTAATTAATATAATACATAACATAATACATTTTATAATAAAAAAGATTGATTTAATATATTGTATCAATAATAACAAAATTTTATAATAAAGTACATTAGTAATATATTCAAGATGATATGTTTTTATATACATATCTAAAGTGAATATGAATAACTAGATTTTTCGCCCGCGCTTCGCAATAGGAGTATAACATTATTATATAATTCCTATACATAATTCCTATTTTGCACGCGGTGCAGCTGAGAGCATTATTGGGAGCATTATAGTGTAAGCATTTACTTTCATACCAAGGTAGCAGAGTGATGTCAAATGACGTATTAATTCCGTCTTAATGACGTCCTCTGACGTCATTAAGACGTTTTTAGACGTTATCTTGCTACTTGGGTATTCTCGGAAACGCTAATCTGAAAGGTATTATTTTTATCAGTTGCTTTAAAGTTTCATATAATTTTCTCTTTATTTCTTTTTATTATTAGCTTCAAGGTAGAGATGAATGTAAATGTAAGACGTTTGGAAATTTTTGAAAAGTATCAAAAAATGAAAGAATTTCCACCAGATAATGTTGAACAATTAGTTTTGCAGTACATGCAAAATAAATTCAATTGTTTAAAAAATAAAGTTGTTAACGCAAAATTTAAACATTATTTAGATTTAGGTATATTTTTTTTATCAATTCAAACAAAAATGACAAAGCTTTGCATTGAAAATACAATGTATTTATGAACGGTAATTCATTGCGGTTAAATAACCTGTTATCGTTATTACTTGCGCAAACAGAAAAATTCAACAATGCTTCAAACTCGATCCAAAAATAAAAAATCAGATACATGTTAATATATGAATTTTTCTGTAATTACTCAGTAAACATTGTTTATGCAATAACATAGAAGTAACAAGTAATATAACATTAAATAATATAGCATCAACATAATTGTGTTTATTGGATAAATCAGCTATTGTTCATGTTTCTAGATAGTTTGTTACAGAGAAATTTATTACAAAAAGCCCTGGCCGTCTATTAGTTGCTTTTGACAATGCTAGTGCAAGATAAAAAAGGAAAACAGTGGCTGAAATAATAACGCAATATAATGTTAATCAATTATACAGTTGCTACTATTTCAAATCCTAGAAAAAACGGAAATAATAAAGTAATAAAAAGTATTAATGCAATTAAAAATACACAAACAGTAATTACTCAGTAATTACAGTAATTATCAAAAAAGCCCTTAATATGATAATTACAGCAAAACTATCAAAGAAAAGATATAAATTTATAAGAAAAAAATAACAATTAGATCTTTTATTGAAATGTCGATGTAACAATTTTAATGAAATATAAATTGAAATATAATACGCATAATATATAACTATAACATAATACGTATAATATAAAAAAGTGCGGAAAATCTTATGTTCCGTAATTTTTTTTATGTGTAAAGAAAATAAATTAAGTAATTTAAATATCGAAATTGATTAGAACAATGCTTGAAATATATGTAGATATTTTTGTAATTTTTTATTTATTTTTACTGAAGTAATAGAATTTGGCCGCGTTTTCCGCGACTCGACCCACTGTGCGGTGCATCTTTCTCGCATTTAAAATACATTCAGCCACGTATTCGCTCCGTGCGTTTCGCGCCATCTACCGCTATCGCCATGCAAATAAAAGTGGAAACAACGAGATATGTTTACAGGCAGTTTGCAAAAAAAATATAAAAAACAACTTTAACGTGTGATTATTACCAAAGCTTCTTGTGCAATAGATGCAGTGTATTTTTTTTACATTTTACTGTTAATAATTTCGGTAAGTAAAAATTGCTATACGCGCATAATCTATGATTGTTACTATATAATTGGAGGTTAACTGCAGTATTTATGTCACTTTAATTACTGGAACTCCTATTTTTTATATTAGAAAACAATAAATAATAACTACTGATAATTAAATATTGCTCTAAAAAATGTCAATAATAAAAAGTAAAAAATGTAGATTCAATAAAGTTACTTATTATCGATTTAATTATCTTGAATTTACTGTTCTAACGAAAACTATGTTTTAAGATCGATAAATAATCGATAGTTAAGTGAAAAAAATATATATAAATTCAAATAAAATAACATTTTCTAATTTTCATGTGGATTTATATGTCGGTCAAGTTAGACTTTAATAATTAATTGTTTTATTTATATTGATACATTTAGGAGAAAATTCAATATTAATCAATATTAACAAAGTTTATATGTATAAAGTGCGCAAATCCAATTCTGATAAATTGTTGATAATCGTTTATGTACATTTCTCATTGTGAGGCAACTACTGATCAAGCTACTGATTGTTTCTTTGCTACAACGTTTGTGTCAGTATCAATATTATCCAGCAGAATGAATCGTGATGTTAATTTTTCATTATTTGTTTTTTTTTCTTTTTTTGATAAATTTCCATCCTTTGTTTGCTTTCTATTTTACTACATCGCGAAGTTGTCAACATTTTCGGTTAACTGGAAATAAAAGCTTTATTCTAAATTCGATAAATTCAAAGTGGAGAAATATAAATCGAGCTAAAGTGACTTTATTGTCGTGTTGTGTATTTATTTCTGTACGCAACACATTGAGGACCAGGTTTTTTATACATATACATATAAATTGTATACAAACATATACATATATATATATATATATATATATATATATATATTATATATGTATAATTCAATAAATAAACCGTATGCTAATGTGTGCAGCACGGGATATAACAAAATGTCCAATGTACATCGTGAAATTGGAAAAAAAAGTTTGCGATAATGGGAGTGAAATTGATGGCGATGTAACGCGGGATTAATGGTTGCCCGTCGCGTAATTGACGACCGCGTTGATGTATAATAGACGTTTCTATTGTTATCATCGCTACTGCTTATTTTTCAAAGTCGATAAACTTTCTTCACGCGCATCGAGATATGTTTCGGTGCACTTTTACGTGTGCGAGCAATTATCTGCATCCTCGTAATTGAAGCGAAATCGTACTCGTTGTAACTTTAGTCAAAATTGATACTCCTTATTTTTGCAAAAGGATATAATTAAAAGAACCAATACACCCCACACACACACACACACACACACACACACACTTCGGCTCCAGGACATCACGTGCAATTTAGAAAAATATAATATTGTATACAAAAAATTTATATTATAATATTGTATTATATGTATCTATAATTATATAATATATAAACATGTAATTATAATGCATTTATGTGTATGTGTTACTCTTCAGTTCATTATTTTTACAATTTCTGACACAACTACGATGACCCATTTTTAATAATAATAAGCCTAGTTGAATAGGAAAATATTCCACCCTGAGTTCACTATTCTCTCATCGCTTGTAGAGCGCTTCCGAAGCTCGTAGCTATCCCCTCCAACCGACCGTACCGAGCGAATAATAAGCAGACTCCCTGCGATGCGAAAAGCAGATTCAGTTTCGAAACCTCATTATTATTAATAAAAATTATTTTTGAGTAATAAGAATATATATATTTTTTTTTTTAATTACATATATATGTATAATGTTTTAATGAGAGTAATTTATCTTTGTTTAACGCTGTCATTTTAACATTTAACGTTCTTTACGCCGTTTCTTCTAACGACAAGGTCAACAAGAGTAAACGCCCATTAAACGCTCAATAAAGACTGCACGCTGTTTTCAATGGTGAAAGCAAACGCCTATTAAACGCTTAACAGAGGATCTATAAGGGCCACTTCAACAAAACTTTGATTAACTTAATCGTTGATTAGTCCATTAGAAATAACCAATCGCATTTGCTCATTATAAGCAAATTGACAAATGCGATTAATCATTTCCAGTGGACTAATTAACGATTAAGTTAATTGGAGTTTGGTTAAAGTGGCCCTAAATGTTTTAAAGAACTCTCAGCAAACGTCGTACATCATGTAAACTCTTAAAAACGCTATATACAAACGCCTTTCAAACGCTGCAACGTTGCAATTTCCGCTCTACAAAATTTTTACTGGTCGTTTCTAAACTCTCAATGAACTGCCGCAAACGCTCACGTAAACGTCAAACAAACTTCATAAAACTTCTCATTTTCGCCAGAGAGTATAATAAAAAACTAATATTATATATATGTACACCATATGACACTTGCTAAGTATACTGCACTAAAGTTCTATCTTACAATTAGTGTTACATATAACAAAAAGTGATTAAGAATCTGGCATTTAAGCAGATTAACTGTAAAATAAAAGTTTTTAGATAAATATTGACAAAAGGGGACCCAGCCCCGATAACCTCTTGACCTTGACATATGTTGTCAATTTACGTCATCCCCCTGAATGACCTGCTTTAAAAGGTACCCGTCGCTCGATGTTTATTAAAAAGTTATTAACAGAAAAAGTTTGAAAAATATAGATAGCTATTTTAACCATTTAATAGAAATAACATATAAATACATTAATAATTTAATAAAGTAGAAAATAGTTGGTATATAAAGTGTTTAAAAATAAAATTGGACTGGTTAATAAAAAAACAACAACAAATTGGCAGACCAGGAATTATTGTAGAAATAGATAAAGCCAAAATCGGAAAAAGAAAACTTAACAAAGGTCGTATTTTAACGGGACAATAGATATTTAGTGGCATAAAACGTGATACAAACAAAGTTTTTATTGTACCTGTGGAAAACCGGCGTTCCGAAATTCTATTATCATTAATTC